AGTTTATATATTTCTATGTATTCTAACGTTTCTCCTTGCCTGTTGCAATATTATATAAGGGAAATATATTAATTTAGTTTCACTCACCCTCCCCTCCTGTGAAGTTGAACATCAAGTCGCCTCAGCAGGTGACATTACAGCTGTTTCAAATCATCCGAGCGCGTTTTGCCCATCTATACCCTTTAAGTCTAGCATTCAATCTATTCCTCCTCCGTTCTCTTCTACACTTGCCCAGCCCACAGACTCTGGTAGAAACGTCCAGATATTCAATTCCAGACCCATCTGTAATAAGTTTAATGAAAGTACATGCACCTTTCCTAATTGCAGTTTCTCCACATTTGCAGCTTTGCTAGGATGCGCATCCCAAGTCCGTCTGTCCCCGTCGTGTTCTGTTCATGAGAAATCGTACCTTCAAACATTAATAGCCCATCATCTTCTACGCCCATCATTATTTCTGAATTGGCAATTTATCTTACCCATCATCCGACCGCACCTTCGTCAACTTCATTCTTACCGGTCTGTGTCAAGGTTTTCATTTCGGAGTCTGCACCACCCCCCCACCCCCCACCCCCCCCCCCACCCCTCCCCTAATCTCCAATCTGCTTCAAAGAACCAGACGTCGTAGATCAGCTGCTTCACAAGTTGCGTCCAAGAGTTTCACGATTGGTCCTTTCAAAACATTCTCTGTCTGCTCCCTTTCGTGTGAGCCCCCTAGTGGTAGCTAACCGCTATATTCTGGGAAAATGAGGCTCATATTGGACTTATCTGCCCCTCATTCTGGCCGTCACTCCTCCATAAATAGCCTCTTCCCTCTTTCCTCCTTTTCTCTTCACTACGCTTCTGTAGACCACGCTATTTTCTCTCATTAAGACCACCGGCCAAGGGGCCTGGCTGGCCAAAGCAGACAAAATTATTTTCATTCACCCTTCTCAATGGCTCCTGTTCGGAGCTAAATGGAAGTCTCTGTTCTACTTTGCTGTCCGTCTCACCTTTTGCTGCAGGAGCAGTCATTGTCTGTTTGACAATCTCAGAAGCTCTGTGTTGGATTCTCCTTAATGTTACTCATTTGCCATGCGTTCTTCATCTCAGGATGGTTTCCTACGCATAGTTCCTCCCTCCATTAGCCCAGTTCGTCACTCCTTAAACTAAAGCTCTTAACCACTTGGTGTTCCCCTGTCCGAAGAAAAACCATCGGCCCTGTTACAAATTGTGTTTCTAGGCATAGCTCTCGTTTCAGTGGCCATGATGGCATCCCTGCCCGCAGACAAGCTGTCTCAGATTCGTGAGATTTCTCAGTCTTATAGCTCTGCATCAATTATTTCCAAACGTCAGTTGCTTCTTTGCTTGGTCACCTTATTTTGCTGTGCGCATCATGGTTGTTCCTTCATTTCCCGACTGCTTGACCTAGCTAACTCTGTTCCCTCTCTCTTAGATTAGGTTTCTCTGGACGAAGGTTGCCGTTCCGATCCTTCCTTCTGGGCTAGACTTCTTGTAAATGGAACGGCAATTATTTTCGATGGCATCATTCAAACGCTGACATGCTCCAATTTTTCACGGATGCTGCCCCATCCGTAGGTTTTGGGGGGTTTCTTTCAGGACAGGTGTTTGCTGGTTCATGGCCTCCCTCTTTTACTAGTTCTCAGTCATTTGCGCTATGCGAGGTTTACCTTTAGCCGTAGCTTGCCGTCTGTGGGGCCCGCTTTGGAGGAGAATGCGCATATCCGCTTCTGCGACAACATGGCAGTCGCTGACGCCATCTCTAAGGTCGCTCCTCCTCTCAATCTCTCATGCCATTCATTAGAGGCATAACTTGGCAAGCAGTCTCTTACAACTCCATCATCTCTGCTCGACACGTTCCTGGTCTTTGTAACCATGCTGCTGATGCTCTTTCTCGTTTTAAATTTCAGACCTTCCACATCTTCGTCCTTCTGCCGATCTCCTTCCGACCCCCGTTCCTCCGCTAGAAGAACTCATCCTTAACTAACCCACTCTCTTCGTTCGTACTTACTTCCTCCAGTTTCTACATAAATCAGGTTTAGCTTCACTTCAACTAATAGTCGTTTCGATCCTTCCCGGCATTTGTCTCTTTCGGATCTTCGTTTCCACATCGATCTTACAAATATCTTGAATCATTCTAAAGGAAAGGCCCTTGTTTTATTTCTATCTTACGTACAGATGGCCCCTTTGCCCGTTTATCACCATGTTTAATCTGTTCAAGCGCCAAAAGTTTTTCCCTCATTTCAAGCCACTTCGTCACGCGCAAGGGTTCTCCCGCGTCACCATGCTGGTTCCAAGACCATCTCAGAATACTATTAGAATCTGTGGCTTTTCATCCAGTCATTATTCCAGCCACTCATTTAGGATAGGGGCAGCCACAAAACAGCTGCTCGTGGTGTCTCTGTGGCTTCTCTCCAGCAGTTGGGCCGATAGACTTTTTCAGCCTATAAATCCTATATCCTCCCTGAACACTCTTCAATCTTAGCAGCTCAACGCTCTCTCTGTCTGTAAGGTAAGCTAACTTCGAATACTGGTGGTGGTTTAAAATATATTCTCATCTTTGCTAAATCATTGCTCCCTGCCACGCACCCTGCTATGTTCCCTGTGTGTTCCCTGCCTCATTCCCTGCCTTGCATTCTGCCATGCTCCCTGGGTTTTTCCTGCTATGCTCCCCGTGAGTCATGTTCCCTGCCATGCGCCCTGCCACGCTCCCCGTGTGATCCCTGCCACTTTACCTGCCTGCCGTGCTCCCTGCCATGCTCCCTGTGTGCTCCCTGCCATGCTCCCTGTGTGCTCCCTGCCATGCTCCCTGTGTGCTCCCTGTGTGCTCCCTGCCATGCTCCCTGTGTGCTCCCTGCCATGCTCCCTGTGGTCCCTGGCCTTGTTCCCTGCCATGCTCCCTGCTATGCTCCCTGTGTGTTCCCTGCCATGCTCCCTGTGGTCCCCTGCCTTGTTCCCTGCCATGCTCCCTGTGGTCCCTGGCCTTGTTCCCTGCCATGCTCCCTGGCCTTGTTCCCTGCCATGCTCCCTGGCCTTGTTCCCTGCCATGCTCCCTGTGTGTTCCCTGCCATGCTCCCTGTGGTCCCTGGCCTTGTTCCCTGTCATGCTCCCTGTGTGTTCCCTGCCATGCTCCCTGTGGTCCCTGGCCTTGCTCCCTGCCTGCTCCCTGTGTGTTTCCAACCTGCTTCCTCGCCACATCCCCTGTCGTTTCCTGCCTTGCTTTCTGCTATGCTCCCTGCATGTTCCTATGCTTCCTGCAATGCACCCTGCTAAGCATTCTGCAAAACTCCTTTATTTTCTCTCTGCCATGCTCACTGCTATGATCCCTGTCATGATTATTCATTTATCACGTGTATCAGCCTGTGCATAATGAAGTCCTTCTGTACTCATCCTTCTCCCTCCGCTTTCTGCATATGCTGGCGCTCAGGCCTGTACCTCGGCAATTTTTGGGGGGAATATCCTTATTCTCATACATCAGTTTATCTGCATTAAAGTATAAACCAGCGTTTATGTTTCCTGCCGAGGCCTGAGCGCCAAAGTTCAAACTATTGTATCAATAAACTCTTCTAATTGCATCTTTCTCTCTCTGTGAGTTTTTCAGATTGAAATGAAGCTAAGGCGGAAATTCAACTGAAGAAACTCTGATTACTTCCATTCAATCTGAGGCTGATCCGCCTCCGACGCAGCCAACCCGCTTCAAGCCACTTTCCTGGATGCCCAATCATCTTCCAGCACTCTACTTAAAGCCACTCCAAATCATCTCTAGGCCTGCTCTTCAACAAGCGCAAGATCCATCGCTCCTATGTCGGACTTTGATTCAGACAACCCACCTCCATCCCCTTCTCCACCATTGTAGTAAGCTCATCCGACTCCTCCTCGATGCTCCTTCAACCTCACCTCCAGTGTGTACTCCCTCCAGACTCCATGGAGTTCCCTGTCACTTTAAACGGTCCGGCAGAAGACCGCCACGTTGAGCCTGGTTCTGCCAGAGATTTCTTCCCAAAGGGGAGTTTTTTCTCTCCACAGTCGCTTCATGCTTGCTCTTCATGGACAGTTTATGCAAACTTTGTTCATTCAGTGACATCTAACTCAAGTATCACCCTGTATACCAGCCTCTATGGATTAACCAAACTTCACCTATCTAAACTCCACCACCAGTTTCAGGCCCGGGGGGAATATCCTTATTCTCATACATCAGTTTATCTGCATTAAAGTATAAACCAGCGTTTATGTTTCCTGCCGAGGCCTGAGCGCCAAAGTTCAAACTATTGTATCAATAAACTCTTCTAATTGCATCTTTCTCTCTCTGTGAGTTTTTCAGATTGAAATAAAATATTATAGCCGCTACCCCTGACTTTAGATTTCTTAAACAAAAATTACAGCTCTTGTCCACAAACCGCATTCTGAAATATTAAAGACAATGTTCAAATCTTGCCATCCTGTTTTAATCAAAAGAACCTGCACAAAAAGTTTTACTCGTCAAAAATAATTAAGATATTCTTTAGATGGGAGTAATTTTATTTATATAAATTAAAAGTTCAGAAAATCTAATCATTAATTAGAGAATTAGAATTATTCTCAAGTAATGTATAATAAATCCTGAATTTAATTACATACAAATGTGGTAAATGCTAAAAGTAAACCTGTCATTGTATTTCTTTGACTACTTTATAGTTAAACGATGAATGTGCAACGATCCTTAATCATGAGAAATTAATTACATTTTTGGATAAATAATAACATTATTAGCTAATTGAATTTGTCAGTCTTTTTAGCAAGAAAAGAATGTGTCCAGAGAATAGAAGATTTAGTTAGACTATTATATGTATACTATATTCATTTTGGCAGCTGTATTAATATTTGTGCTGTCAGTAATTGCTTGAAAAATGTTTTAACTTGTTGTTTTTTTCTTTTAGGTAACTGGTTTATATGCTGCGGTTTGGTGTATAAGATTATAAAGCTCATATATAATCGTGACTAATTATTTTTTCTTTTAATTCCAGATTTGACCATTGGAGCTCAGACCCTGATGAACAAATCAGGCTCTTAGCAAATCTCTTCTGTGAAGCAGCAAAGACAGAGCAGGATACAGGGGAGAAGATGGTGGAACAATTAGCATCAGTCTGCTCATATAACTTTACTGTAACTAATGAAGACACATGTTATGAATTTGATGAAGAAAAGCATGTGGAATATCAGTGTCGGTGTCATTTTCTGTTGGAGCTGTACTCCCAGATGAAGAACCATGGGACTAAAACATGTCTGAGTCTCCTTCCATCATTACAGTCAGTTTTCCAGTCAGCTCCTGCAGTCTGGACCATAAACCTCTCAGAGAGAAAGACCTCCATCCTCCTGGAAGTGTTGAAGCTCCAATCAGAGAAGAAACCAATGGAACTGACGGGCTGCTCACTTGAAGAGGATGAAGTTAGGAGTTTCCTACAGTGTCTGCCTTACATCTCAGAGCTCAGGTACAGTAATGTGGTCATTTTGACAGTGATAAACTAATTTCCAGGAGAGTTTTCCATTTTAAGTTATGATTGTATAACTTTTTCTTTCTTGCTGTCACTTGTCGATAGTTTCCTTTTCAAATATGTAGTGGATCTATTAATCATATATCTCACTGAAAACACTGTTAACATTTCTAACTTACCATGCTTTCTCATCTTATTTGATAAAAACCCTGTGACCTAGAACTTTCCTCACATGTAGTTGGGGTGTAAATTTTGTTTTGTATCGATGCAAGGATCCAACAGCCGACGATCCGATGCATGGAAAAGTCTGCAAGAGTATCTATTCATGTTTTTTTCCCCCCCATGTCTATTTTTATCCATTTGCTCCTGGACGTAATTCTGACTCCCGTGCTTCGGTGGCCCTAAACCTATTTTGCCCTCCTACCTCGCTTCCTTTAGCCACTACCCTCTTTCCACTAGCAAACACACAGTCGCATTAACAGTAGGCAAGACAGACATGGCGGAGATGGTGGAGGTGAAAAAAGAGGTAGGCAAGACAGACGTGGCGGAGGAAAAAGAAGATGATGTATTCTTGAGTATCGAAAATAATCCAATCGTTGGGTCAGGAAATCGATACTGAATCGAATCGCCATGATGGGTGTGATTTACACCCCTAACATGTGGCCAGGTGTGAGAGCGATTGGCTCAGCACACTAAGGACACTCTGCTTCAAGTAATTTATAAAAAGATGGGGCATGGTTGTTATGGAAATTTATACCAAATAGTTTTGTTTTTATATTACATATTGTGTGTTACATTGTGTATGTAATAATCTAAATTGTTACATTTATCACAGACATTGCTAATAGAAGTATTCCTTAAGCTCTAGTTTATTTTAAACAAAGAAAAAGTGTTTGGGACTGCCTGGTGCTATTGCTCTGTTGCCGTGGCAATGTCGCAATACAAAGAGTGGTGCTTCTTTTAAACAACTCTATCCTTTAATAAAAGACTTGTTTATTTTGTGAGTCATTAAATAATAAATTAGTAGACTAGCCTTGTTTTCTTCAGCTTCTTGTTCTGAAGGTAAAGTACCCGAGGATTGCTATTTACAAAATAATAAAAGCATTGTATATATATTTTTTCAATGAAGGGATATTATACCTATAATCAGTATTTAACTAGCTTGCACATTTTTTTGTTTTATCCCATAAATACACTGCCTGGCCAAAAAAAAAGTCGCCACCTGGATTCAACTAAGCATATAGGTACGAGCCTTTGTGAAACGACAAGCTGGCAACAAGTTATTTAACCCCAACTGGTGCAATGACTTGCTTCTCATTTCCTAAACAACCATGTCGAAAGACACATCCCGTGGTCGTAGAAAAGATGTTAGTCTGTTTTACCCTGTTCCAGAGTGATGGGTGAATCAGGGTAAGAAGAGAGGCAGGTGAAGTGATGCACCCACCATGCCTAGTGCCTACTGTACAAGCCTGTGGGGGCGGTGTTATGATCTGGGGTTGCTGCAGTTGCTCAGGTCTAGGTTCAGCAACAGTATGTGCTCAAAGAATGAGGTCAACTGACTACCTGAATATACTGAATGGCCAGGTTATTCCATCAATGGACTTTTTCTTCCCTGATGGCACAGGCATATTCTAAGATGACAATGCCAGGATTCATCGGCTCAAATTGTGAAAGATCATTTTCACACATGGATTGGCCACCACAGAGTCCAGACCTCAACCCCATTGAGAATCTTTGGGATGTTCTAGAGAGGGCTTTGCGCAGCGGTCAGACTCTACCATCATCAATGCAAGATCTTGGTGAAAAATTAATGCAACACTGGATGGAAATAAATCTTTTGACATCGCAGAAGCTAATCGAAACAAAGCCACAGCGAATGTGTGCCGTAATCAAAGCTAAAGGCGCTCCAACAAAGTATTAGAGTGAGTGACCTTTTTTTTTTGGCCAGGCAGTGTATAACATTTTTACATTTTTAAAACTGCTTTATCGCAGTAAATGTATTTACTTATAGAAGTAATTTATAATGTCCTGTCTAAAGCCGGTGGCTTTATACAAATAACAAATATGAATGTATAGTCTAAATCACCTGTGTTGTTATTGTTATTGGGTGCCAATCATTCAGTGGGTTTAGGAGGACAGTTAAAAAAATCTTTTAGCCCTGGTTAATAATGCATTAATGAGAACCTGAGGCACAGAGCTGGCCCACAGTTGTCTTGTTATTTGTTTATAAGTCTTAGTTTGTCTACTAAATACAAAATTCTGCGGCAAAAATGGCACTGATCTTAATTTAATCAGAAACAGAACAGAAATACACAACCCAAAGTCTATCAGCTGTTTGTGGTTGTATGCAGTAAATGCAGCTTTGATGGAATCAGGATTTAATATTTTTTTCTTCTTGTTCTAGGTTTTATCTCTGGAATTCAGCTCTTCATATAAAAAACACGTTTTTACTAAGGCTGTTCTCAACGGCAGTAAAGACGGAACAGGAGACAGGAGAGAAGATGCTGGAGCTGTTGCTCAATGTTTTTCCTAATGGAGCTTACCCATTCAATAGAAGATTCAATGTTAACCCTGATGATGATAGTGACGTTAAAGATAACTCTGACTTCCTGCTGGATCTGTACTCCCAGATTAAGGACTGTGAGACTAAAACGGGTCTGAGTCTCATTCCATCATTACAGTCAGTTTTCCAGTCAGCTCCTGCAGAGTTGATCATAGACCTGTCAGAGAGAAAGGCCTCCATCCTCCTGGAAGTGTTGAAGTTCCAATCAAAGAAAAAGCAAGTAGAGCTCAGAAACTGCTCATATGATGACTACAGTGACCTGAAGAGTTTCCTACAGTGTCTGCCTTATATCTCAAAGTTTAGGTACAGTCATTTAACTTTTTACTGTCAATTAAACAGATGGAAAAAAGCTCTGACTTTAAATGTTACCCTCAAAACTAACAGTATTTAACTTAGACAAAATGTATTATCATTTTGTATACACAGAGTGTATACAAACTAAATTTCGATGCATACAGCTTTTCAACAGTAAATGAGCCGCTTATTATTCAAAAAAAAATATTTTCTATAAAATGCAGCAGTGATCAAAAAGTGTTAATAGCTCAAGAAATAGTAACACTGTGCACCTGCTGTAGTATTTTTCATTAATGTCTGATAATTATGAGTTTTTCTTTAGAGCAGATGTAAAAAAAAAAACGTACAAGACAAAAAAACTAAATATGTGCATTCATGTCCATATGCTGAAGACATTAGAAATGTATTTTATCTCTCCAACTTAAAAATTTAAATCACTCTAGCTTACCAGGAAAGCAGTCATAATTATTTGGATTTGTAAGGTAATCTGATGATTTTCATTATATGTTTTAGCACAGGAAGCCATATAAGTTGTTAAAAAATGTCTAATATACGTTAATTTGATTTGATCAATGATCACAATGTCAGATTGGCTGGCCACAACCAAGTTGTCTGTTTGTATCTGGTGTTGTGATATTTGAATATGTTATTAACTAGAACTGGAGGTTGTAGTTAATTAATAGGCCATTCAAAATTGAGGGTAAAACCATTTAATTATTATTAGTTGAATGATTATAAATGTAACTCACTCACCAGGGTTCTTGGTCTTTGGCCTCCAAGATCAGACTCCTGGATCGGCTGAAAAAATCCATTTGTTTTCACCAATTTAGCAAAATAGACTGTGGCTATCAGCAGGGTCATTAGGCACCAACCAAAGAAATCTGTCTTCGTTTATTCAGATATTTACTGAGGAGGGTGAGTCAGACCTGAGTGATAAATCGTTTGCTGTGCAATAAACACAAACTACTACTGGTTAAAATATTGATGTCTTTATTTCTAATAATCCAGGAACGTTTTCATATATATATAAGAGAGGGAGAGATATATAAATTAATGTTTATGCGACTGACTGTTGGCATCCCCCCCGTTGGACGTTGGAGAGTGCCTGTAGCCTGCATTGTGTCTACAGCCAGGTCTTGTTGCTGTCTCATGCATTGCCTTGCCTTCTTACGCTGAAGACAATTATTAGACTGTGTAATGCAGAAGCTTGTTTGGCTTGTAACAAAACTTTGCATTATTTCCCCTAACTCTGAGTACTAAAAATGAAATACCAGGAAGTTTCTCATGTTCCACCTGTCATGATATGTAAGAATCCCCTCCCCTTTTATGTGCAAGTTATTTCGTAGTACAGGGCCAACAAGCTTACTTTAAATGTGTGTAAAGAGCTTTGTAAAGAAAACATATATTCAAAGAGTCCATCAGTACTGTTATTGAGTTTATACAGTTCAAATCAACAGTAAAATATTTTTTTCTTGTTCCAGGTTCGCTCCTGTCTGCTTCAATCCGCCTGAACAAATCAGGTTCTTGGTGAATCTACTCATTGCAGCAGCAAAGTTAGAACAGGAGACAGGAGATAAAGTGATGGATATGTTAGTATCAGTCTGTACATTTGAGGTGTCCTCTTGTGAACAAGACACAGATCAGGATTTTTATTGTGAAGATTACAGTGAGGATGAGGATCAGGAGGAACATGTGGCCGATTATAGACAGAGTGACTTCTTGCTGGACCTTTACTCCCAGGTGAAGGACAGTGAGACAGAAAGAGGTCTGAGTCTCCTTCCATCATTACAGTCAGTTTTCAAATCAGGTCCTCCAGTCTGGACCATAAACCTCTCAGAGAGAAAGACCTCCATCCTCCTGGAAGTGTTGAAGCTCCAATCAGAGAAGAAAGCAGTGAAGCTGACAGGCTGCTCACATGGAGAGAGTGAAGTGAGGAGTTTCCTACAGTGTCTGCCTTATATCTCACAGCTCAGGTAAATATTAATATTTTAACTGAATAATACCAATGAAGTTCAACCTGGCTGGGAAATAGGAAACATGGTGTAAAGAAAACCCCAAAATAGAATACTAATAATTCTGTTCTGTAACTGAATGAATAGTTTTAATTAAACACAATGGGGTATATATCGGTAAGCAGAGACAGCAGTTGCTTACGGGCCCACAATCTCTTAGGGGCCCAATCACTGACACCTGGTCGGCCCCCTACGCAATTGTAGACTAGGACATCTCTTTGCAGATGTAATGGTGTGAAAAATTCCTGTTAAACCCACCTGATCCTGAAGTGACTGACCGCACCGGACAAAATTTATACCGCAACACATGGCAGATTTCAACATGATGGTGAGCCGTATAAACACGACACCAAGAGCAAAGCAGACAGTGGTACTTTTAATTACCATGTTAATAACTGTGTATAGTTCATTAGAAGGTTGGTGAAAAATACACTCATATGATATAAGTGGTTGTCTACGGTGCGTGTGTGGGGTGGGTGGATAAGCATCTCCCTGAAATCACGTCTTGTATTTCATATGGAGCCCACCCAGATAATGTTGCTTATTGTTGTGTCGTAAAGCTATTGATTAAACTGCCAATCAATGGATCTTTTTCAGGATGGTCTTAGTTATCTCCAGAGGGGCTATAAATTCAAAATAGACATATACCAAAAACCAATCAAAGTTATCAAATCCGTATATTTATATAAATGCCAGCAACAAAAAACATTATAAAAACAATTTTCATAAACAGGTTTACTTTTTGTACATACATCTTGCTCTTCTGAGGCTTTGTGAAGGTACATCTGTGTTTTGCATGGTCCAATATTGTGTCACAAACCTAAAAAAAAATTACCAGTTTAATAATGAAGAAGCTATTTGTCAGTTTTATTTCTTTTAATATTTAGAAAATATTTATTTTCTGAGAATGTGTTTATTTAAGAGCAACTATGCAAATTAACAAACACCTAGAAAAAGTGTTTTGTTTTTTGTTTTTTCCTTTATCTCTCTCTGTTCCACTTTCTATCATTGCCTCTTTCAGTTTCGTTTTGTCAAGCCCAGCGATATGATCTAAAATGTTGCTATAAAAATGTGTAATTAAAGAAATAAAATTAATTAATAAAATTATAAATTGGTTCTCAAGGGGAACCCCCAAGCTCCCCTTGGCAAAGCAAAATCTGTTCAACACAATAAAGCAACCAGACTACCATTCTGCTTACTATGATGCTGGACAGGACACACAAAAAAAGAAAAAAAAGTACTCTATATTATATTATTATCCATGTGAATCCCAGATGGTTCATTCATCTTTGCCTTTTTATAAAAAGTGCTTTAAATCAGTCCTACCTGTCTTTATCCATGTTGGGTCAGATCATGACATTTGAAAAAGGAGGCAGATACTCAAGGCAGCAGAATAAAGCATTAACCTTGCTGCATGCAGTTAGCCAAGCCTTGTAGCTAAACCAGGTCCCAGAAAAAAACAGATTTCACCTCCAGCTTTCTTTGGTACATTTGCTTTAAGGGATTTCCCTTCCGTCAGTCAGTTGCACTACGAGTGTGACAATACTTTTGGTCTGCTCACAGTGCAGCTCTCATGCACCCCAAGCTCTTCTATCCTTTTACATTGCAGAGGAGCTACTACTACTACTTAAGTAGAAGTATAGATACTGCAGTTTAAAAACACTCTGGTAAAAGTTGAAGTATCAACTTAGACTTAGACAGTACTTTATTGATCCCTTGGGAAGGCTCCCTCCGGAAATTAAAGTTACCAGCAGCTTACAGGGCAAAAAAGTATTAAGTTAAATTAAGTTAAAATTAAGCAACAAACAAGTATTAAGTTAAATTAAATTAAAATTAAGCAAAATACAAATACAAATAAATATGGAGTTCACATTTTACAGAAAAATTTAAAAAGTGTTGCTACTCCTTTCCTCTTTCCCCTGTCCGGTGTCGCCTCCTCGCCCCCAGTGAGGCGTTGTACAGTCTGATGGCGTGGGGGACAAAAGAGTTCTTAAGTCTTTTGGTCCGGCACTTGGGAAGCAGCAGTCTGTCACTGAACAGGCTCCTCGGGCTGCTGATGACGGTGTGAAGAGGGTGGCTGCTGTTGTCCATGATGTCCATCAGTTTATTCAGTGTCCTCTCCTCTGCCACCGTCACCAGAGAGTCTAGCTTCATGCCGACCACGGAGCCGGCCCGCCTGATCAGTTTGTCCAGTCTGGACATGTCTTTCTTGGATGTGCACCGTGGTGGACTTTGCTGTCCAACCACACCCCAGGGTACTTGTAGGAGTCCACGGCCTCCACCTCAGTTCCCTCTAGTACGACTGGTCTTGGCTTTTGTCTGGGCCTCCTAAAGTCTATAACCAGCTCCTTTGTCTTAGAGGTGTTGAGCTCCAGGTGGTTTGTGTGGCACCAAAGGGCAAAGTCCACCACCAGATGTCGATACTTCTCCTCTTTGTCATCCCTGATGCATCCGACTAGGGCCGTGTCATCAGCATACTTTTGTATGTGACACAGCTCTGAGTTGTAGTGGAAGTCAGAGGAGTACAGGGTGAAGAGAAGAGGGGCCAGCACTCTGCCCTTAGGGGCTCCTGTGCTGCTGACCACAGTGTCAGACACAATGTCCTTCAGCCTGACATACTGCGGCCTGTTGGTGAGGTAACTGTGGATCCAGGTGCGGGTCCACTCCCATGCTGTATAGTTTGTCCTGGAGCAGAAGGGGCTGGATTGTATTAAAGGCACTGGAGAAGTCCAAGAAAAGGATCCTCGCTGTGCCACTGCCCTTATCCAGGTGGGAGTGGGCCCGGTGCAGCAGGTAGAGAATGGCATCCTCCACACCGACATCTGGTTGGTATGCGAATTGCAGGCGGTCTTGGGCATGTTGCACCTGAGGCCTGAGGAGGCCAAGGACGAGCCACTCCAATGTCTTTATCAGGTGGGAAGTGAGTGCCAAGGGCCGTTAGTCATTCAGCCCGCTGGGCCTGTTCTTCTTGGGCACTGGAACGATGCAGGATGTCTTCCAGAGGGTGGGCACTTCCCCTAGCTGCAGGCTGAGGTTGAAGATCTTCTGTAGTGGTTCTCCCAGTTCAGCAGCACAGGTCTTCAGTAGTCTTGGACACACCTGGTCCGGCCCTGCTGCTTTCCTGGGCTTGAGCTTCCTCAGCTGTTCTCTAACCTGGTCTGTGGTGATGTGGGGCGGAGATTGTGCTGAGGTCTGCGGGGGGTTGTCAGTGTTGTGTTGTATGGGGAGAGGTGTGTAGTGGGGGGGAGGGGTGTCTGCAGTGAGAGAGAGGGTTGGGGGGGCATAGGCTGGTTGAACCTGTTGAAGAAGATATTCAGTTCGTTTGCCCTCTCCATTGTTCCCCCAACGGCTCTGTTTTTTGTGTTGAGACCAGTGATGGTCCTCACACCTTCCCAAACCTCCCTTGTGTTGTTCTCTCTCAGCTTCCGCTCCACCTTTCTCCTGTAGCTGTCTTTTGCTTCCCTCACACACTGCTTCACCTCCTGCTGTGCTGCCTTCATTGCCTCCCTGTCTCCACTCCTAAAGGCAGCCTTCTTCTTGTTGAGGATAGTTTTGACTTCTCGCATTACCCATGGCTTATTATTAGGATAACAGCGGACTGTCTTAACAGGAGAGACCACATCTACGCAGAAGTTCAGATAGTCTGTCAGGCAGTGTGTTAGCCCATCTATGTCCTTGCCATGCGAGTTGAACAGTACATCCCAGTCCGTGGTGTTATAACAGTCTGTCAGAGCACTCTCCATCTCAGGGGACCACCTCCTGCTGGAGCGAGTTGTTATAACCTGCTTTTGGACCAGGGGGGTGTACAGTGGCTGTAGGTGGACTAGGTTGTGATCTGACTTCCCTAGTGGGGGGAGGGGTGTTGCTCTGTATGCATCCCTCACATTAGTATACAGGAGGTCGATTGTCCTGTTATTCCTTGTGGGGCAGTCAACAACTTGATGGAAAACAGCCAAAGAAGAGTCCAGAGTCACATGGTTGAAGTCCCCAGAAATTATAATAAAGCGTCAGGATGTTGTGTCTGTAGCCTTGCTGTGACAGAGTGGATTGTTTTAAAGGCAGTGACAGCATCCCCTCTTGGTGGGATGTAAACACAAATGGAGATCACGTGACTGAACTCCCTCGGCAGATAGTATGGCTGCAGGCTAACGGCTAGTAGCTCCAGGTCCCGGCAACACCACACAGACTTTTCAGTTTTATGTCCTGGGTTACACCAACGGTTGTTCACTTACATGATGAGTCCCCCACCTTTTGTTTTCCCACTCGCTTTAATGTCCCTGTCGGCTTTCACAGCGGTGAATCCACGCGGGTTCAAGTTAGCATCCGGTACGAGTTGGTCTAGCCATGTCTCTGTAAAGATGAACAAGCTGCTCTCTCTGTAGATCCGCTGGTTGTTCAGTGCGGACAGCTCATCAATCTTGTTCAGCAGCGAGTTAACATTTTCCATGATTACAGTGGGAATCGATGGCTTGTAGCCCTGGCCTTGCAGCCCCTTGGTGTCCTCCTCAGCTCCGCCGGATTGTTGTGTCTTATGCCGGCTCTTCCCATTGTTCTAATGGCCAGCAGTTCCTCTCTCGTATAAGTGAGAAAAAAGTCTCCTGGTTGCGTATTCAGGTTGGGATTATCCATGGGATAAATGAGGAGTACACACAGAGTAAAATGTTGAAGAGGCAACTTAAAAAAAGGTTAAAAAAAAAAAAGTTTAAAAGAGGTGGAAAAACTAGAGGGCTACTGGAGAGGCAGCCGTCTCCACAGCGCCATGGTTACTTGACCTCTTTACTCAAGTAAAAGTGAAAAATTTTGTGTTTGGTATATAGACAATTTCCTGATTCACGTGTTTTTTAAAACACCTGAACTCATCGTTTGTTTTTTTTTGTTTTTTTTTCTGTCTTAATGAGAGCAGTGGGCTTTAGGCTGCCCTGCAAGACTTTACACCTAGGTTTGAATGGAGACTAAGCCATTCTCAAGCACATATCAAGGTGCTCACTCTGATCCTGGATCCATATTTATTTTTGATTCTGTTCATGGTGGAGAATCCTGCTTCACAGCAGCAAGTTGAGCCAAACATCCTCTAAATGTTCAGGTTCCGCTCCGGTCCGGCCAGGTCAACATCTGTTATTACAATCGCACCAAACAGGAAAAAGAACAACGACAAGATCCGGTTTGTTAAATTAAAATATAGAAACAATAGATCTGTAACTACAAATTAGAGTATAATTCTTATATATTTCAAAAAACTAACACTGTTTATTTCAAAGATTGGATGCAAACTATTGGTACTTCAACAGACCAGGAAGCAGATTTCTCATCTCCATCAGAAACCACACATATGCTGGATGCTGATGGGGATTTTTTTAATGTCATATTAAATGAATCGTTCATTTCTGCATGTTTTGCTCCTACGAATTAAATTATAATAATGAGCATGCTTTAGTCGGAGTCCAGCAATATGGGAGAAACAGCGGAGGCTGTAGGCTTTGCATTGTGCAAGCTGTCTTGAGCGCTGCAGAGCGAAGACGAAGGATATGGGATTTCGGAGTAATAGGAGAAGCGACACAGTCCGCTAATCCATGACCTCTGCAATAACCCGAAGCCAAGAGTAACGAGTAACCCAGCAACCTCTATTGGCCAGCCGCCATTTGTTAAATGTAAGAGGTTGACTGCTGACCTTCCTGCGTACATTAATATTTATTGGGGACCACTTTCCAGAGAATATTTATTCTTTATTTACACTGCTACAACACATGCATGACTATACCTGTAGCATTTGCATAGCATTTATCACATATGTGAATATTTACAGGTTTAATTGGATATAATGTTTTGGGTGTGTAATAGGTTCTGTGTAGAAAAGAATATGCATTGTTGTTGTGATACTGTGTCGCGCATGCGTGTTTAGAGGCGACGCTATGACGCATGCGTGTAAGAAAAAAAATGCGGTTAGAGCTTAAAGATGGAAACGCGAAAACGGCGTTTCAAAATCTTCCCACTCTGAAGGCTTAATAAAAAAAAGATCGTTTACAGACCCCCGAAACGCCAGCTTCGTATGGATGAGAGGCTGGTTTGGTGAAAAATGTGTGCATTTAGGCCAGGGTTTGACTTCGTGTGGACGGGGCCTAAGATAATATTTTTATTCAGGATGAGAGAAAAAACAGACTTTAACATCACTTACCGGTACAAACAGGCAAACAAAAATACCATTCCACAAATGGTATTGAAAATGGACAGCACCCATTGAAATTTGTTGCCGAGTCATGTTCTTCTATGCATTTCCTTGAAGTTTCCTTGATTGAAAAAATTATTTAAAAACTATGGTGTAATTTGCAGAATAGAAAAAGAATACTCTGACCATTGGCTGGTTTGGCCTTGATAGACCATATGTTTCAAGAGGTTTCTTAAAGAGCCTTAAGCATGGTTAAATTTCAAATTTAAAGCAACAGACCCTTAAATTTTAACCCTGTTTACATTTTACTAATTTTATATTTATAGTTAAACTATTTTAGATTTGAGCTCAAAAAGGCAGTGAGAAATAGGAAATGGGGTATAACTCATTTTAATCTTATCATATGATCTGTTTGTTGTGCGAGTCATTCACTGTCTAAAATCAATGTTAAGCGTCTTCGACCAAACATGTTTTTTGCATGTAATGTCATCACTTGCATTCCTAAATGAAGTCCATCTGTAATGTGTGGTCCAATTTATGCAGCTTAGATCAAATCATAATTTGTGTCTTTCTTGTTTTGTTTTTTTTTTCCAGTTTGGAATCTCAGAGGTCCTTTTTTCTCAAACAAACTGGGCTGTTAGTGTGTCTGTTCTGTGCAGCAGCAGAGAGAGAACTACAGACAGGAGAGAAGATGGTGGAGCTGTTAGCATCACTCTGTAGATATGAAACATTTCCTCTGGAGGAAAAATACGGGGATTACAAATATCGTCTTTCCTTCCTGCTGGATTGGTACTCCCAGATGAAGGACTGTGAGATTACCACATGTCTGAGTGTGCTTCCGTCATTGCAGTCAGTTTTTCAGTCATCTTCACTAGTCTGGACCATAAAGCTCTCAGAGAGAAAGACCTCCATCCTCCTGGAAGTGTTGAAGCTCCAATCAGAGAAGAAACCAGTGGAGCTGACAGACTGCTCACATGGAGAGAGTGAAGTGAGGAGTTTTGTTAGGTGTCTGCCTTATATCTCACAGCTCAGGTAAGTCCAGCATTACTTCTTTCTATATATAATATTTATCAATGGTCCTATATCATGCTTGGTTGCAAAATAGAAAACATTAACAATATGGCCCCAGAGCATGTATTTGCCATTTGTGCAGGAAAATTCTGTTCAGATTAGGCAGACGGCGTGTACCAAATACGCCTCCCAAAGGTCTCGCCCTCACATTCTGCAACCATGACTACCAGTCTGAGTTTGTAAAAATGGAGGCTCAAAGTGTATCTTATCTTGAAGAATTTGGGATGTGATCAAATTAGCTTTTAACTAATTTAGAGCATTTAGAATGTTTTCAAACCAATTCACAATACAAAACCATGAGGTGAATAAAGCATTATTTAGCTAAATAATGCTATATTAAATGATTTTCTTAATCACTAACCAATAACCTTTAGATAAATTATTCTTTACCCCCTCTGAAATAGCTATTAATGAGTAGACATGAGGATTCCATTAAATTACTTTTGGTCATAATTTGGTAATCACAATGTAATGAGCATATGAGAAATCGCATGAAACTTTATAATTATATCAGTTTTTAAACCTTTAAATAAAGCTTGTTTTAGCTTCTGAGAAAAAAAAACAACTGAAACATGCTAGCATAGCATACCATGTGTCCATCTTGTTAGCTTTGTCTATATTCACCAGTAAACATGAAATTAATACAAATCATCAAATACATGTTTTACCTAGAAACTATTTCTAACTTTGCCAGGCCTTCAACCCCCTCTCAGCACAGCTGCCACAGAGCTATGCCTTGGCCTCTAGAACTCTAGTTTAACATTAAAACACCACAGGACACAGATCTTTCTCTTTTCCGTGAAACTCCCCTGGGATTCACATCGGCGAGACAACATCATGGCACCAGGCCCAAGGTCTCTAGAATGACTAAGTCGCTATGATTCAGAACAAACTTGCTGCAAAACAGAACTTTGCAACATTTTTCTCTGAGTTTCAGAACTTACAGACCTGGACTGGATGTTAAAGACTCCTAAGGATGCCTTTTCCTTAGTGTGAAGTTTGCAGGTCTGGCACCATCAGGGACAGTTTCTAGTTAAACAAAATGGCTTAGCTTATGGCGTCCTGGCTGGGTGAGCATTTAATATAACTGTTACACAATATATTATTTGATATTCAGGGAGAGGGGAAGATGAATATCAGCATTGGCAAGCAAAAAAAAAAAGATAAAGCACTGTAAACACCAGACATGCTCAGAGCCACTAATGAACTTTATAATACTATTTCATTACTTTGCACGCTTTGCCCAAACCCACACTAAATACCTTTATTTTGTACAAACCTAAAGTGCATCAATCCAGCCATGCTTCGATAATGACAAAATAGCTTTGATACTTATGATGTTTGGACATGATGTGATCATCTCAAACTGCAGACACAGGACAGGGTTTTGACGTAGAAAAGACAGCTCTTTCTCTTTAAGCAAATTTATTTCAGTGCAAAAATATATATATATAGATATATATATATCTATATATATATATAGCCAAGAAACAGTCCCTCAGGTGTGTCCTAGGTCTCCCTATGAGTCTCCTCATGGTGAGATCTGCCTGGAACACCTCACCAGGGAGGCTTCCAGTCCTCCTATTTTGACTGAGCTCCTCACTCTATCTCTAAGGCAGACACCAGACACACTGAGGACAAAACTTATTTCGGCTGCTTTTATCCGGGATCTCGTTCTTTCGAGATTGACCGGTAAACGGATTAAGCCATGTCTGTGTGAATGCTCAACGTTGGTGAGCAGAGAGAAAGAGCCTACTAGTGGGCAGGTTCAGATAGCGGGAATGGTTATTTCCTCAAATGACATAAAGGGCATGCTTTCCAAACAGATAATTTAAAGCACACCTTAGCTAAGAGGCGGATAAAGGCAATGAGAGGTTAAAAAATAACTCCTTCACAGGCTTTTGGACACACATGAGTGTTACAAAATTAGATTTTGCATGACATGATGACTTTCAGATGGTCATGAATAAATGAGTGATTTGAAACAGAGATAGACTAATACTGATTGTTTTAAGGCTAATTCTGAGATAGATTATCTTGACACTAGTCTTATCAATCCCCATTATGTGCTGCTGATATTGCTTTTCCTTCCTCGAATTATAAAATTCACAAAGCATTACACAAGACTGAATTGGAAAAAAAATGTTTTCTAAAAAAAATCAAACAAAGTGTTAATATTGAATAGCAGGTCAGGGGAGCAGAAATGCATGAGCCATTGCATGTACATATCAGCCAATACTGATACACAAAAAGAAGGGTAGTATCAGCCAAAAGTAGCTGCTGGCCAATTTATTACTCCATCTGCATCACACACACACACACAACGTTGTGTTATAGCCCTTTTATTGTTGTATTTAATCAAGCCTTTTCTATAAAAGCAAAGTTCACACAAATTTGATGAAATTAAAAATGTAAACCAAAAAGCCACTGTGCTAAAACCTTAACAGTTCTTATCAGTAAAAAAATATTTGTTCTGCTTTCTTTGAATGTTGTAAATTGTTCACTGTGGCATCACAACTTTGGGTTTGTTTGGGAAATTAATTATGAAGAAGTTTTATAATTCAAGGCAGACAAGCTTACTTTAGGTGTGTGTAAAACACTTTATAAGGAAAAATGATCCGTCAGCAGTATGTTGTTGAATTTATTTATCTTGAATCAGAATCAACAGTATTTTTTTCTTGCAGGTTGGATCTTAAAAGCTTAACTCCTCCTGAACAAATCAGGTTCTTAGTGAATCTGTTCTGTGCAGCAGCTGAGAGAGAACAGCAGACAAGATAGAAGATTCTGGATATGTTGGTATCAGTATGCCAGTTTGATATATCCTCTTGGATGCAACGCATATTTCAGGAACTTGATGAACATTACTTTGAGGATGAGGAGGAGTTTGACGTTTATAGCCAGATTAACTACCTAAAAAGTGACTTCCTGCTGGATCTTTACTCCCAGATGAAGGACAGTGAGACTAAAACAGGTCTGAGTCTCCTTCCATCATTAAAGTCAGTTTTCCAGTCAGCTCCTCCAGTCTGGACCATAAAGCTCTCAGAGAGAAAGACCTCCATCCTCCTGGAAGTGTTGAAGCTCCAATCAGAGAAGAAACCAGTGGAGCTGACAGACTGCTCACATGGAGAGAGTGAAGTGAGGAGTTTCCTACAGTGTCTGCCTTATATCTCACAGCTCAGGTAAATATTATCATTAGAGATGTCCCGATCCAGGTTTTTGCACTTCCAATCCGATACCAATATTGTTTTTGCACTTTCGATCCGATACCGATATTGTTTTTGCACTTCCGATCCGATACCGATACTGGCCGATACCAGCCTATCCGAGCATGTATTTAAGTTTAAGTTAAACTATTTAGCCTTAGTTGTAAGACTCATGTTGAAAAGGCTTTTAGTACTCTTAATAATTTCTAGCCAGCTGAATTAGGTGAGATTGAATAAAACACAATTATTGGTAACAACAACAAACTTACCCGTTTATTAAGAGATAAACACAAACTGGAAAAAATTATGAATAGCAATCTGAAAATTGCCCAGTGAACAGTAAAACCGTGAACAGTTAAAGGCGCAAGTATTACTGTAAGTTGTAATAAAAATGCAAAACAGACAAGAGTGGAAAATAGTCTATTAACTCAGAATCAGGACTCTACTCTTGAAAAAAGACACTGCTTGAAAAAAATCAGTGCAAATAATATTGTGAACTATTACACAAAAATGCCTTATACTCCCCAATCTCCTCCACACCTAGTCTCCATCTACACACTCCCTTCAACTGTTTGCCCTGACTGCTGTCCAAGCATGATGGGGAGATTCTTTTTTACAAAGACGAGCATTTCAAGATTCTCAGGTGTCAGCCTGCTCCTGTGTTCATCAATGATGAGTGAGACGCTTTCAAGGCTGGTGCAAGGAGCACTGAGGAACTTGGCTGCCGTTGCTGCCAGGGTGGGTAGTCGAGCCTGATTGTCTTTCCAGTAGTGAAAAGGATTGTTTTTACGCCCAAGTGGAGGCTCACTGAGGTAGCTCTCCAACTGAAACAGTGCCCCTGGGGTGATCTGCTGCTCGTCAAAGTAGCAGCCCAGGCTGCTGGTTGAGCTTCCAGCCTCCATTCCTGGTGGTTGCTTTGCTGTCTCAGGTTCAGCCACACCTTCTCTAGAGGGCATGGTCTTCAGCTCTTGTTCCATTTTCACCACCTCTACTTTTACTGCCTCCTTTGCCTGATCCAGGTTGGTAGCAGTGAAGAACCTTAACATTTGGCTAAAATGTAATAAAGATGTATCAATAATTGTATATTGTTTCAGCCAGTGTCCACATATTAATGTTCAATGAAAACAAGTAACATACAAAATAGATCACATAGATCAGATAGCTGAACAATAATAATAATAATAATCAGCAGTCGAGTTGTAAAAAAAGAATGGGGACGATTGATTTTATTTTTTTTGGAAGAATTCATAGCCTAATTAATATATTCTATTAACCTAAAGCACTATGCCTGGTCTGGTTGTTCCATGTCAGCTTTACCAAGGCACCTTACAGTAGAACTGCAGTCAGTCCCCATTAGAGACTGACACGGGAGTGGATTTTCACTCCTGTCCCGTCTCACTCCCACAGAAAAAAATTATGTCCCGTCCCGATCACGGTGTAGGTACCAGATTGACTCGGGGGCCTGCGCCTTTTGATGACGTCACAATACATAATTGTTTTAACGTTTGCACAATTGCGCAAATCATTTTGATTGGTCTGGACAGCTTACTAAAGTAATTATAGCGGGGTGTAGGTTTTATTCGAAAGCGGGATTGCGGTTTGTAAACGGACAATTTTACGAAGAAATTCTCCATGGTCCCTGCGCCTTCCGATGACGTCACCGAATTCGCCATGGGCCTTGCGCCTCCCGATGACGTCACATTATGGCAACGCCACTCAAACAAACTACATTGAGCCCGCGGTCTGCATTTGTAACAAGAATAAATTCAGGAGAATGAAGCTAAAGGGATACAAAAAATAAACTTGTAATATTACAAAAACAAAAATACTACGAATACAAAGTATATTCAGAGATTAAAGTCCCTCTGATACTGTTTAAGTGACTGAGAAACTGCAGATTTGCCACATTTAAGATGGCGGACGCTCATGACGTCATCAAAAGGCGCAGGCCCCCGAGTCAATCTGGTACCTACACCGGGCCAGAGTAGAAATCTAAATCCTGTCCCGTCCCACTCCTGGTGAAATTATTCCCACACCCATCCCGCTCCCATTCACAATGACTCCCGCTCCTGCACCACTCCCATTCTTGTTTTTTTTTTTTTTTGAGCGCGGGTGAAAAACTCAGAGCGGGAGCACTGTTGGTTTTTGAGTCGTGTAGTTTTTATGACTCGCATTATAGTGTAGGCTTAAAGGAAAAAAACTACAAAATGGCGGCGCTGCGCCAGTACTGGATTTTTTTTCTTTCTATTTTATTATATGTTTTGGCATCGATCCTAGTGTTTTAGTTACTATTGGTTTGCTCCTGCTCCCGTCTGCTCCTGTTAATGTTTAATCCTGTACCGTCCCAATCATGTGATCGTTACTAATACTGACTCCCATCCCATGGGAATCCTACGGGAATCCCGTGACCCGTGGGATTCCTGAAAAAATGCCAGTCTCTAGTCCCCATGTCTATCACTTCCCCTACATAGTTAGGGACTAATTTCCCACTGGGGTCAGCTTCATAGTCATGGTAGGACACTTTATTGATTTTACAGTGGAGAATCTTTTATTTAGAAATAAATGACGACTATAGAGTAAAATATTTTAATTATTGTACTATAGCTTGTAACTCACTCAAATAATAATAATAATAATAATAATAAAAAACACTTGTCTTTGTAGCGTGGATTCAGCATTGTTGCCACGGCATAGAGGGGTTCAATTTCCACGTAGTCAAAACGTGTGTGCACAGCATCCAGTAAGGTAGCCTTCATGGTTTGAAGCCCTTGGTGTTCTTCGCTCTCACTGTCCAGAAAGCGTGTCAGGACACGGACAGATGGGATGCCATCTGCTGCTGTGGCAGAGGCAGCACTGACCTCCGCGGTCATCTCTTGGAAGGGTTTAAGGACTGTCGCCGTTTTCTCTAGCAGCGACCACTGGTTGCCTGTTAATGTGGCTGGTAGATTGCTGTCGCTATCCGATGCATAGGCCTGCAGTGCCCGCTTACAATGCACTAGGCTGTCAATCATCATCTTTGTACTGCTCCATCTGGTCTTGACATCTTGTTGCAAACGCTTCGGTTCAACATTCATCTCTTCCTCAACATCTTCGAGTTCCGAGTATGCCTTGGGGGAGTGCTTCAAGTGGGTTACTATTTTTCTCCCGTTAGCGATGGCAACGCTTACAGCTCGCTGTGCCAATAGACCGTGTCGGACAAGCAGCTGTAAAGTGTGCGCAAAACATCCCAGGCTGGGCACACCGAGCTGATCCATTGCTTTTTTCATGTTGGCTGTCCCTTAAAATTACATGGACCCTCTTTTTATCAATCTTCCAAGCCAGTAACATATGTTCCATGGCGTCTGTAATGGCATTCGCTGTGTGTGAGCCTCTAAACTCACGCGCATGTAAAACCGCTCTTTTGGGGTTGAAGTCTGGCCCAATCCAGTGTGCAGTTAAACTTAATAAAGATAAAGGATGGTGAGCACAGCTCCATATGTCGGTTGTGAAACTAAGCGCAGTTGCAATCTCTACCTGTTTTTCAATGTAACCTCGAACGTCTTTGTGAAACTGGGGGATCGTTTTCTCGAGGATGTAATGACGGCTGGGCATGTTGTATCGTGGTTCCAGGTGTTGGATGGTGCGTCTAAAGCCCACTTTACTGACGAGAGATAACGGCTCGTCATCCAGAATTATTTCCTCAGCAATGACTGTTGTTATCCCTTGAGCTTTAGCACTATGAAGTGGCAGCATATCACGCTTCCCAAATGTTTCTGCAAGAGTTAGTTGTGTAGGACCTTTCTTTTTCTTGTCGTCGGTTTTCTATAGAAACTCTTGATGTTCTTTATGATGATATTTCGCTAGATGCTTGATCAGATTAACACACGGCTGACATTTTCCCCGCTATCTTCCAATTCACCTGGCCGTTTTAATAGTTAGGCTGGGACACAGACCCAAAAAGACCTGTGGGTGTGTTGAAGGTGTTCTGGAAAATGCGGACCGTATTAAGGAAACACTGGCGCAAAATAGTGGAATGGATCGTTTCAATCGGCGTAACTGGAAAATACGGACCAGATTTTTTTTTTAAAAATGGATCGGCAGTCTGGATCGGCATTTTTACATGCCTTGCCGATACGCATTTTTTTGCCAATATCGGCGTCCGCTCCGATACGTGGATCGGATCGGGAAAAGCCTAATTATCATATATTATCATATTTGTTGTTTAACAAGATTTGATTGATATAAGCTAAGATAGCGAAACTCCCTGAGTCCATCAGTATTTTCTACTTTTTCCCTCAGTCTCTTTCTTTTGTTTCATTGGCTCCTCTGTGCTCCAGCTGTGATCCAGGGTTCTTCCAGATCGTTTGTTCATCCACACCATTCAGATCCAGAGAGGAGGTCCAGCAGCTGGTGTCACTGCTTCAGCTCCTGAACTTCAAACTGCCTCTAACAGGACAGTTGAGCAGGAAGACCTGCAGCTCTCTTGGCAGAGTTCTCCGTCTGTGTGGATCTACGGTGGATCTGATCCTCACAGCCAGAAAGATGTCTGTCAGAGGAGCTTCTGTTCTCTTCAGATCTACAACACAGCTCCACAGTCTGAGGCAGGAACCTGGAGAACATCGTCTCTTCTTCACCGTTTATCTGCTGTCATATTGAACCATTTATTCTTGATCTCCATCATCTCTGCTCCTCTTTCTGATTGCAGACTGTCCAACACTATGACCTTGTTCCTGTCTCAGTGGGTGAGAAGAGGCAGAGTGACCTTTCCTCTGGTTGTTGAAGAGCTTTCTGTGGTGTCCACCTCAGCTGGACCATCACAGAGAACCTTGCTGAAGGTTGGCGTCTCTGCTGAGGTTCTGGACAGTCAGAAGGTTAGACCTGACTGAGTCCAGCCTTCCTGCTCAGAGTCTCTTCAGTCTGCTCCTTCATGATGCTCCTCTCACAGTCAGGTAAATGTCTTCTTCATCTCCATCAGCTGAACCAAACCCAGGTAAGTTCAGGTTTGATCTGTGATCTCTGCAGGCTGAGTGAAGGTGTTCTCCAGCAGCTTGTGGTCCTCCTCCATGAGGTCCAGGACCAGGACCTGACGTTGTTCTTCTTGAATAAGGTTGGTGGAGACCTGAGCTCCTGCCGGTTGAACTGGGAGCTGCTTCACTATCTGCTGCAGGAGCCGTCAGATCAGACCATCACTGTCAACCTGAAGAAGAACAGCTTCTTACAGGAGAAAGCTTCAGAGCTGCTGCCCTTTCTGCACAGGATGGTGCTGCAAAGGTGGAGGTTATGATTCTTCTAATGAACAGTTGATCTGATCTCCCATCAGCCTCTGGTTCCTGGAACTAAACAGTGTTGTTGACCCTCTGTGGATCAATCAGATCACTGATGCTCCTCCATCCTCCATCCATCCGTCTCACCCATTGGCTCATATGCTCATATTTGCAAAGAACAAATACACAGCGGAGCAGCATCACTGTATAAAAGACTGTCATTTATTGTTTCAGCCCTCTAGATTATCTTTTTCTCTATGGGGCATGTGTAGTTTTAATTTCCACCACTAGGTGGCCCCCAGACTGCATTAATGCATAGAGTTCAGTATATTGTTGTTTGGAAAGAGATCAGCATGATGCAGACATTGTTAAATGTGTGCATCATTCAGAAATGAATTGTAATATTTGTGCTTTAACATTGTTTCATTAGACTTTTGAGATGATTTAAAACAGTTTTCCGTTTGGAGAAGTTAATTGCAAGTCATTTAGCATTTAATTGGTTTTTAACATTGTTTAACTTTACTTGAGTCCGTTAGTGTCTGTTGACTTACTCATGCTACTGTATATATATATTATCATGATGTTGATGGCTGCATTTACAGCCACACAGACGTGGTAAGAAACACCATTTATGTCATTTATTTTTTTTTATATAGGGTTTAATTTACAGAGCCCTCTCATTATTTTGAATTTATTCATCACAGTTACACTTTATTCCAGAATTAGTGAACACTATTTGGTTTATCCTGTTTTTGTTATGATTGCGTTTCATTTATATTATCTTTGAGTTTTGCAGGTTGTTCCAGTCCCTTGGCTTAGGAACCAGCAGGTGGCCTAGGGGCTGAGTTGATTTGGACCGTACCACATCAATGCTCTGGGGGGGAAATAGGGTTTTACTTTATTTGTTTTAGTAAAGTTTTTGTATGTTTTGCTCCATGTGTTTCTTTTGTGGACTGATCATCCACTATTTAAGGTCCCCTTTGTTCATTAGGGGAGGTCAGTTTGTTTAAGGTAGTCTTGTTCTGTTATAGATATTCCAAGTAGTTTTGGTTCCTTTGACCTTCTTACAGGCTACATTTTTGTAAATGTTACATTTTATATTTTTGGGTTAAATAAAATAACCTTGTTTTGGGGCATACGCCTGTGCCTGACTGTCCTTACTGCTCGCTACATCACAATGACACTATTATTGAAAGCTATGATTGGTGTTTGCATGTAGGCTTAGACTGACCCCCAGATTCCACATACTCCGTTAGCGCTCCGCTCCGCCCCGCTGACGTACGTCGTGCGGAGCGCTTGTCTTTCATGGAAATCTCCGTCCACGTACGTCTTCTCCGTCCGTCACCGACAAATTACGGAGCCGAGCTATTTTTTGCCCCGCTCCGGTCCGGCCAGGTCAAGATCCGCAATTGCAATCGCACCAAACAGGAAAAAGAACATCGACAAATTCCGGTTCGTCAAATTAAAATATAGCAGCAACAAAACTAACACCGTTTATTTAAATGATTGGATCCAAACTATTGGTTATTCACCAACGAGGAAGCAGATTTCTCATCTCCATCAAAATATTTATTTTATACCGAGGGACTTAAACTTTAATCAAATCCATTCAAAAGAAACTTCTTATTACAGGAATGAAAAGAGATGCTGAGTTGTAGAGAACAAGTTCATAAAAAAAAAGCAGTTTTGAATTATCCTTATCCCCGTTACAAAAATCTACAAAAAAAAAATATATATATATTTGGGCAGAAACTGAACATATGCTGGATGATGGTGGGATTTTTTTGATATGTCATATTAAATTAAGCGCTCACAGGGTTCATACAGGAATGAGCGACTCTAATTTAATGCTATTTTAATGCTATTAGAAATGATTTTAATGCCATCAACAAGAACCATGTACACAAGTTATTAGTGTACATAAAATATGAAGGAGCTGTAAGCACAGTTCCATGACTCCTGTATGTATGTAAACACACACACACACATATATACGTATATATATATATTCTCTAGCTTTTTCTCCGCCTCGAGCTTCCTTTCCGAACATACGGCTTTATGATCAGTTCCACGCAAATTAATAGCGATATAATATATCGGACGAAATTGTTTTTATAAGCATTTTTTATTAAAGAATTATAAATACTTCGATAAACATATTTAATTAATTTTAGTGCCAATTAAGGCCTTGATTTAAAGAAAAAATGAATGAATTGTAATTATTTTTAATGATCCGCGGAAACCCTGGTTCATCTCGCGCATGCTCTCTACGATCTCCAAGGAACTCAGAGCGGAGCGGACGGGAACACAGCGGCGGCTGTAGGCTTTGCTTTGCGCAGGCGGTCTGGAGTGGAGCGCTGACGGAGTATGTGGGATTTCAGGGTTAGACAACTTTTATCTTCATTTTGTATCCAGAGTTTATACAAAATGAAATTTCATTTTGTACAGATCTCATGACATTTACATTTCTTAAAGTTCAGAAGTGATAAAACACTGTAAGCATTGATATAGTCAGTTTGATGCAGAGTCTGTCAGCATTCATCAGTGTGATGGCGGTGGGGAAGAAGCTGTTTCAGAATCTGCTGGTCCTGCATTGGATGCTGTGAAGCCTCTTCTCAGGGGGCAGCAGGGAGAACAGTCCATGGTGGGGGGGTGAGGGGTCATTGATGATGTTACAGGAAGTACATGCCCTTCTGTGCCCTTTCAACCAGTGAGGTGGTGTTTCCAGTCCAGGTGAGGGTGTCTGTGATGTTCACCCCCAGGAATGTGGTGCTGCTGACCACCTCTACAGCTGAGCTGTTGATGTCCAGTGGAGCGTGGTTAGGCCGGTTCTTCCTGAAGTCCAAGATGATCTCCTTCATCTTCTCCACGTTCAGGATCAGGCTGTTATCTTTGCACCAGTCCACCAGGTGCTCCACCTCCTCTCTGTAGTCCTGGTCGTTGTCGTCCCTGATGAGGCCCACCCCCGTGGTGTCGTCTGCAAACTTTACGATGTGATTAGTGGTGAACCTGGGGACGCAGTCGTGTCATCAGAGTGAACAGCAGGGCTTACAGTCCTCATTATCACCAAGGAACCCGAATCATTAAATCAATGTTTACACTCATGTCAGCCACAGTCCAGCTATTAAGGCAGTACGGATCAACAAACTCTTTCTACAAGAGGGATGTTTGGCCGGATATTGTAGCAGTCTCCGCATTAAGCTGCTGTATTTCATGCAATAAAACAGAAAAAGCAGGCGGAAAAAAGTCCATCAACCCACCAACCTATGCTAATCGGAATAGCCAAAAACTAAAACAGAGAGAGAGGAGCTATTGGACAATCAAAGGAGATATTTACATATTTGCACCTATGATGAGTTTTGCTCGCTTACTGCCTGGAAGGGTGTAAACCCACTTTAATTTTTCTTTTTCTCTCAAGCGCAGCTGTACCACCTTCAGAATTTGCGCAACAAATAGTTTCATGACAGAAAAAAAATAAACTTTCATTTAAACAACATAAAGACTGATTGAAAGTGGTTGAGTTTTGTTAAATGTCTGACCAGCCTAAATGCTGACCTAGAAGACTGAAAATATGTCAACTATTTTTTAACTGAAGACAAAAACTGATTAAACTTATTAAATATGTCATCGGGGGTCCAGTGTTTAAAAATTGGATTTTCTACAATAAATAAAATGGTGCAGATGTTGGTATGTCATCTATTTAGAAACTCCTTATTGGTCAATAAATGTTTAAGAAATGGTTGAATTTCATCCAAGTTACTTCAATCCTGTATTAAAGTTAAAGTGGAGGATGCTCTTTTTCAGGGTGGATCATGAAAATAAGTGGTCCTCCTAATAGTCTATCATTTAGGTCTTCTGTTTACATACGGCCTTTTCGTGCTCGTCCCCATTTTAACTTACTGGTGGCGAGTCTGACATACTGGAAAAATTGCAATTTCTGAAAAGTAATCTTTAATGAGCGATGCAAACATCAACCTTTAAACAGAGCGTGCACGAGGAGAAATGGGCTTGTTCATTCTCTCACATGAGTTTAATAGGCTCTATGCACAGCTCCACTACTTCCTGAATTTAAGGCAGCTCCTTTGTTTCCTGTCTTTCATGATTGGATGCACTGATTAATCCAGGTGTGTATGACCTAAGTAACTGGCTAGACACACCTGGATTAATCAGTTCGTCCAGTAATGAAAGA